AGGAGAGGAACAGGGAACAACTCGAGCCACTTCCTGTCAGCATGAGTTTAACCCAGCACAGGGAGATTTGCTGGTTGTGCTTGCAGCTCAAGGGGTTTTGATAGCCACAGGGGCACTTGGTGACCATAAATCTTGCCTGAAGTTTCCTGCCTTCCCTTCCACAGGGAAGCATTCTATACAAATGCTTTCAGGTGCTTGCATGAGCTATGGGAGAGGTGAGGATGGTGGGGCGACAGACCGGCTCATGTGCAGGTGCCAGTGTGCACTCAGGTGTTTTCCTGCAGTGTTTCTGGTCCCAGCCTTTGCTCATACTGCTGTCTTTGTCTTTTCCAGATCAGCCGGCTATGCGGCCACACTCAGCAGAGGCAGTATCGATCAGCTAATTACCCTGAAGACCTGTTTGTTGACAAGAAAGTCCTAAAGGTGACTCACATCGAGCCAGAAGAAACTTTGTCAAGCAGGAGGAGGTGAGAATGCTGAGGCTGAGCATGATGACTGAGGGAGGGGCTGCAGGAGCAGTCGCCGTACGGGATGGTCCCGTGGAAGCAGATGGAAGAACTCTTTATTTTCCCTACCCATAAACCTGCAGCTGATTTTGACTCTGGACTTCAGAGCTGCCCTATGGCAGCAAGGTGTCTGTGTGTGTTTTCTCACCTAATGCATCTGCTTTTTTTTTTTTTTTTTTAACTGTGAAACTTCCTCCTCAGTTCCATCTTTGCTTTGCTTTTTTGCAATGCACCAAGCATCCAGGTTCATACACCAAATCCCTTGTCTGGCTTCGTTGGACACTGCTACATGCCAGAGATACTTACAGATATAGTTATTGGTGGAAGTGGTTGCTCTAGCCTGAAACATTGTGTAACACTGTGTGTGTAGGTAAGGGGACTCGTTTCACTTCTTTGTGTACAGTCCTTTATGATAGTTTAGGAATAGTTAACAGCATCTTACTGATTATTTTCAAAGTGAAGCAGGTGCCTCCAGTGCTGGTGCTACATGTTGTGCTTCCTTCCCTCTGTAAATAGAAGCTATAATTCAGGGGGCATATGCTAGTGTGTCAGGGAGAAGCATCTCCCATCTGGATCTGAAAGCCCACCCAGGGTCATGTGGTGCCTTTACTGCTGAATACAGGAAAAATCCCTGCAGAAAAGAAACAGGCAAGCTTGATAGTTTTTGGAACTGGGGATAGACTAAGTTGGATGGATTTCTCTTCAAAGAGAAACAGGGCCACATTCTTGATATGGTTCCCATGAGATACAGCACCAGGGTTTGTGTTCCTCCATCGGCTCAACATGTCAGAGGGTTACACAGCCCAGGCTCTGCTGGAGATGTCCTTTGAGGACTGTGAAGTCTGAAGAAATCTGCTGCAATGAATTACATGAGCTCATACGGGCAGATAGGAAGGAGTTTCTCCTTTCCCTTCCCTCCCTGACCAGTGGGGAGTTCTGCTCCCCAGGAAAGTTTTCTTCCACTTGTTCTCCCCAGTGATGCCAGGGCTGTGGGATGGTGAGCGATGCAGTGCATAGGGTGTAAGGACCTGGGTGTGATGGGAAACAGAAGGCTTCTCCTGCTCGGGGTTTGGTGTAGCTGAAGACCCAGGTCTTGCCTTATTTTGGCATTCAAAATGGTGTTGTTTGGACCTCCTGCACCACTGTAAGCCTAGTGCAGGGAGATGGCCTCAGGAGGTGGTTCATGCAGGAGGTGAATGTCTGAAGTACCCCTCCCACTTGTGCCAGGGGTGTTGTGGGCTGAACTCCCACCCTCTGAAGGGGCTTTGACTCCTCGGGCAAACCCCTATTTATGGGCTTGGACAGTGATGAACCCCTTGTGATACCCCGCAGGCTGAGTTGTGGTGACCTGAGAGAGGACTTTGGTGGCCCTCTGCTTCCATGGCTCTGCCTGCACGGGCTGTGCCAGTCCGGTCAGGGCAGGAGCAGGCTCCTCGTTAGCAAAAAGGCAGCTAAGCAGTGCAGGCTGCCTTCAGTGGGGCTCTTCTCCTTCTCCTTGTTTCGCCTGCCCCCAGCTGGCAGTCGGGGGCTTTGTCTGGAGAAGCAACCCCATGAAATCCCCAAGCAGAGGGATGGAGGGAGCTGGGCACCCCCTTTGCACCCCAGCCTGCCTAAGCTTGGTCTGTCTGACAGCCGGGAGCTGGGCAGCTCCCTACAGTGGGACCACGGCGACGCCCCTGAGAATGCTGCCAGCTTGAGGTGCTGATTCCTCATCACCCCTTCCAGGGAGGAAGGAGGCCAAGAAATATAACACCTTGCTAAGGGGGAAATGTGCCAGGAGACTGTGAGAGCAAGTCTTACTTCCTTTTATCCCCGCTACTCATACTATCACACTTTTTGTGTTCTGTACCTAATCAAGTCTGCCAGTGTCTCCGGGTGACAGCTGCTGAATGCCCCCCAAGGCACAGACCTGATCTGGAGGAGAGGTGTATCATGCCAGCCCCATGTAGACCTTGAAATTGTGTATTTTCAACAGTCCAGCATGAAATCCAGCATTACTCCTCTGTACAGGTCTGTACTGAGAGCGTCTGCTCTTGTCTTCCACCAAAAGTACCACCTGCCCTTGCAGGTGCAGGTTGGACTGCAGACATCAGGCAGACAAAGTGACAAGTTTGTCCTTTGCTGAAGGACCTCCGTTGCCTTCTGCAAAGCAGGGGGGACTGCTGGCAGCCTGAGCACTTGGGGCTCAGATGCACCCTGTGCATGCATGGCCTGAGCCAGCATCACCTTTCCTTAGGTGCTGTGAGGGTGCAGAGTGTGGCTGCTTTGGTGCACTGCATGGTTGGGCTCAGGTTGTGTTGCCCCAGCATCTCTCCTCTCACAGGCAGTTTTGCTGTAAGAAATAAATACAGTTCATGACTGAATAACGTCAGGGATGATAGAAAATGCTACTCGAGATCAGAAATAAAACTGATGCTTCATAGTTTGTTTGCACCCAGCTGCTTTATTGTGTTTGTATGACTACCTTCAACTGGTTAAAATGCACCAACCCCATCTTCTTTTCCTCTTTTAACTGAGCACCATTTCCCTTCTTTTTATTCCAGGGAACTCATTACGAAGCTGAAGTCCCACAGCATATTTTACAGCAGCTTGCCAGAGTACATCTGCAACCACAGCTCTGCTGTTCAAAATGACACTGTTTGCTGGAATGGACAAGAAGTTGTGGAGAGGTGAATCACATCTCCCTTCCCCACCCTTTCCCCAGCACTGCTTATCTTTTGTTAACCAAGTGCAGCAGTGATCTGTGTCCAGGACACTGCTCGTTCCCTTAAGAAACCTTTTTGAGAGGCGATGTCCACCTGTGCTGCAGCTCAGATGGATGTGCAAAGTCTGCACTGAGTTCTGAGAGGAGAAGTGGTTGTGTGCTGCCCTCCACTGAGTTCTCTGCATTCTGATGTAGTAACCCTGCAGCCATGGCTGGTTTTGGTCGGGATGGGCTGATAGGATAAGTCAGAGAGGAGAGCAGCAGCAGCTCAGAGCAGTTGTGCTCCCATGGGAGCGTGCACCACCGTGCTGGGGTGGCTCTTCGGGAGCAGGAGTGGGGGCACTGCCACCATGAACTGTGTTGGGGTGGGAGTGTCTCCAGCCTGGCTCGGTGCAGTGGCAGCAGGACAGCACAGGTAGCATCCCCTGCCTCATCCAGGGAGTGACAAGGGAGACCACCTTGCTGGGTTTCGCCGATAAGGAGATCGGGACCACTGAGCTCTGGTAGTGCCACTGCTGCCATCTCTGTCCATCCTCCCGCCACCGAGCCTCGGTTGTCCTCTCTGGGTGTGGCTGTTCACACTGGGGTTCAGCTGGTGCCTTGGCTGCTTTTCCCTGCCCCACTCACCAGTTCTGAGGTGGTAAATGTGAGGTTAATGAAGACAAGCGAATATAGGATTCATAGCATAAAGGGGAAGGAAGTGTTAATAGAAATGGAGATTTTTCTTGAAAAAAAAGCCCCTCGGGAATGTCAAAGAATATGGAAATAGAACTTGGAAATGTTTTTTATAATTATACATAAATCATAAATCTCCTCTAATCACCCTACTTTGCAGAGCATCCTCTGCTATTAAGTAGTTTGCATAAGGGAAGAAATAGAAATAAAATCAGGAAGTGGTGAAATGTTGAGATATTAATTATGACTTCTTGATCAGTAACCTCAAGTGGTAATTAGCCTGTACTTGAAATAGTGACCTGAAACACTGAAGGGACAAAAATAGCATCAAACTGTACTTTGAAAAAAATTGGTCAAGCATCTAAGATCATACGCTTAATAAAATGTACTTACTTTGCCTAAGGAAAAAGGTGTCCTCTATCTGTACTTATTACTGGAAAATCTTGAGTTTCCATGCCTAAGTAAGAAATTCTATCGGAAAAAAAAGATTATTTCTATGTTGTCTCACTGATTTCCTAAACATTGCTATAAACACTGCAGCTTTGCAGGGGGGACCTAGGATGAGGTCTCTGCTTGTGACAGTTCACCAGGGCCGTGACCAGTGGCCCTAGTCCAGGTCCTGCTGATGCCACAGCTGTGTGAAGTGGCAGCAGTGGAAAGGTGCTGAGTTCAGATCCTCCTGCAAGTGTATGTTCAGAGTTATTTGCAGGTTAAACCTGACTTTACATGACAGCCATCTTCAGCTTTCTGCTGAGAATACCAGTGGGCCATCATAGGCAGAGTTGTCACCCTAGGTCCCCTGCTGCAGTGCTGCAGTGTTGGTGGCACAATGCAGCAGGTCACATAGGTGCCACAGCACGCAGAGGGGCAAGGCAGAGGAAGGATAAATTGTGTGTGCATGAAGGGGGCACCAGGATTTCAGCTTCGGGCTGCCTGGCTGTTGAGGATTAACTCTTCTGTGCTTGAAAAGAATGTGCCTTTCCATTCCTCTCCTCCTTGCCCTCTCTGATCTATTGCACAGATGTTGTCATCTTTGCCAGCTCCTATGAAATATTAGAATCATAGAATCATTTAGGTTGGAAGGGACCTCCAAGATCATCAAGTCCAACCATTGAGCCATTAGGGCTCTAAAGTCCTCTGCTAAAACAGATCAGATTAGTAACAACTCCCTTGCAGGCAGATATTGGAGGTTTTTTTTCTGTGAGCAAAGAGAGGTCCTGAGAATTAAATCCCTCATCCCCTTGCAGGGACATCAGTGGTGTCCTGGAGAGGGAAACTCTTGCTGGCTGGGCAAGGAAAGCAGTGTGAGTTGTGGCTTACATGGAAGAGAAGATCTGAACACCCCCTTAAAGGCAGAGTGTTCAGGAGGGAGGGCAAATGGATGCAGAAAATGGAAATAGCTCTTGCTCCTTAAATGCACTGACTGCCTTTGCACCTTGTATTTTTAGCATCTGCAGCCATAGAGCTTCCTTAGGGTAACCCTCTCCTCTCCACAGGCTGACAAAATTCCTCATACCTGGTGGTGTTTCTGCCAATGAAACCACAGGGGGAGCTCAGCTAAATAAAACTGAACTAAGATTGTGGTTCACGGTTGCTCCTTTCCCAGGACTTACTTGCAGGATGTTTCAAAGAGAAGCAAATGTAGTTTAAAATGGTCTCTAAAGCAAATTGCATTGCTTCACATGGAGCCAAAACTCACTGCTTCACATGCTTGGACTTCTGAGCATGACATCCTTTTCAGAGAGTCTGAGAGGATTCCTGAAAATCAGGAGCATTTAAGGTAATGTTTCTTGAGTACCCCAAACCACAGGTTTTATTATTTCAGTGTTTTCCCCAAGAGGGAGCCAAGCAGCTGCTCACTGCGTAGGAGCTCTTTTGCAAGCTGCTCTGACAGGAGTGTTTCTGGTGTAGCTACAGCAGTTTTCCTGTTGGATTTATGTGATTTGGTCATCCAGCTTCACCTTTCCACTCTTTGCAAGAAACTTGGTGTTTGTTGAATATCTAGTATTGATTTAATGATGCTGAGCTGGCTGGTGGTTGTCCTGCACATGTAATGGCTACCAGAAAGAAAGGTCTGATTTTCTAGGTTTTGTGCATGTCAAATATATCCTATTGTTTCCCTCTGGATTTGTTGAATAATGGATTTTACAAATCAGATCTTCCTGACTGGAAGTTCAGCAGGCTGAACAGGAGGTGCTCATGCCTTGCACTTAATCTGCTGTGCATGGTTGCTGTAGCTGGATATGTTTCACCTAGGGACAGGATTGAGTTGTCTGAGTGTGGGAAGCACATGCAGCCTGAGACCCCTTCAAGTTTCTGGCATAGGAAGATCTAAGACCACCCATATCCCTGTGGAGCAGTATCTGGGGCTCGTGGGAGACACCTGAAGATTCCTATAGCAATATGGGGTGCCTACCCTAGGATTAGAAAGTACCTGCCAAAGCTGCTGAAAGCTTTGCAGCATCAGGTGAAGACCAGGGGAGAGTGATGTTTGGGTGGATGCCGTGTGTCCATGTGTTTCCATGTCTGGTGCTGTGCAGACAATGGATAAAACTGCTCGGGGGGTTTTGTGTTGGTGAGCTTAGCATGAGCATCCACATGGACAGGTCTGGGCTTTGGTGGTGTACCTGTAGGGTTTGTGGCTGTTTACCTCTTACATCTTTAATGAAGTACTTAAGTGTTAATTAAGTCAGAGAGGAGCCTTACTGGTTTAGTCATTTCCTGACCTCTCTGTCATGACAAAATTTGCTGGTATTCTAAGCCTTTTTCCTATAGCACATTAAATCATGCCTGGAATAGCAACTTCACAGCCTTTGCCAATGCACTCAAGTACTAGATAATACTGACAGCGTGTATCCTGCAGTTTGATGTGAACTGTCCCTACTGCACCCTATGCTGCTCCTCTTGTGGTTTTTCTGAACCAGTGTTTACTCTGTCGTGTTCATCCCAGTGCTTTGTTATCAGCAGAAGGTGAGTGTGGCCCTCTTTCCCACAGACTGGATGTGCTCATTGCCTTTCCATTAGGTCTCGTTTCCCAGTTTGAGCCTTGAACTGTCCCCTGTTTCCTCCTCGCCCGCAACTCTGCCTGCCCTGTTTGGACATGGTGTGTTTGTCTGGGACTCGGATGCAGCGCAGCTGGCTGAAGTATTTCATTGTGCTTTTCTCCTGACACAATGAACCATTTCCATGCAGTCCTGCGTGGACTTGACTTGTTGTGGTGATCAAGGTCTGACTCTACTTGAGCTATGTTGTTGTTTCATACCTGGCTCTGAGATTTCCCACTGATGGAGCAGGGTTGTGCATACAGCAGGTGCACTCCTTGCCTGGTGCGGCCCCTTATGACCACCTCTGAAACGAAGAGCTATGAGGACCTGCTTGACTGAGGGCTTTCTACACCTTGGCTTGTAGTAGGGATGACATGCAACATGCTCTGCTGATGGGTCAGCATCACTCATCTTGTTTTGTGTATTATAGCATTTTAGTGCAATTCATCCATCGTTTTCTTTTACCAAGTCTTACTTTGTTGTCCTTTGTCCATCTCATTTACTTCCCCAGATTGGACCATCTGATGATAAGAATTCAGCCTCCTTCCTGAGGTTTGATCTGGGGGGGTCTGGATAATCTGGTTGCCATCCCTTATGTGGGTTTAGGATATGGTGCCTTGTCTATATTTAGCCTGTATCTGGGGCTAAACTCTAGCCATTGCTCCCTCCCAAGCAGAGAAGGGGAATTGGGAGGAGACTTCATGGGCTGAAATGAAAACAGATTTAATGAAACAGCCAAACTAATACCTATGCCAGTATAAAGTATGTAAAGCTATGCTTAATGTGGCAGCCATACAGGGAAGGCTGATTTTTCTGATCATGCAGAGCAGTGCCTGTGTCTTTGCTGTGCCGTTGCTATGTATTTGAAGAACATAAGCTAAAGTGGGAAGAAAAAAATAAAAGGCAAAACAGTACTGCTTTTCACACTTTTCAAAGTGTGCTAAAACATACTGTGCTTTTATGGGATGCCACAAAGCTTCACAGCAAAAGGCACATGGCACACACCACTACTTGTGAAGAGCTTGTTGTGGGGTCACGGTGCTTGTGTGATCATAGTATCTGGGGACCAGAACTGCTGGATTTCCCTTTGTCTCTGTGCACCCCTGTGCAGCTTTCAGGGTTCAATTACTTGACAGGCATTTCCCTGAGATAGCAGAGGGCTGGACATGTAGACAGAGTGGGTGTGCAACAGGTTAAGCCTGCCTAAGCAAGGGTTGCCATCATGCCCTTCCTTGCATCTGTCTCT